AGACAGAGGAAATCCCTTAGAAGTCAAGAGAAGAACTTGAGGAAAAGTCAGGAGAATATCGACTGAGCACTAGACCAGATGCAATTAATTTAACAAGTTACCAGGCAATTGAAAGGTCACAACTGTTCCATTACTTCATTTACTTCTTGTACAGTCAGAAGGGTACTGCTAGATTAACAAAAACTGACCAAGACCGAAAAGTAATGAAAGTAAGTTGAAAGAAGAAAATCTGAACAATTCTTACTTTAACCAAGGTAGGTCTCACATTCACATTTTGCCAGAGAAAGAAAATAAGTATGTTGTAAATATGCTGGAAGCTACTCTTCTTGGCTCTCTAAAGCTGATTGCTAAATTTTTAGGAATTTTATGAGGCAGCTATTAAAATTTTGGTGGTGTAAAATTGGTCATAGTAGATGTATCTACAACACAGAAATCAGCAAATGCTGATACAAGATAGGGCCTTGGTTTCCCCAAAGATGCAATTAACCTGAAAAAAACATGCTATAGAATGTTTACATTTTATTTTATTTTTAAACTAGAGGCCCGGTGCACGAATTCATGCACCAGTGGGGTCCCTCAGCCTGGCCTGTGGGATTGGGCAGAAACCGGCTCTCCGACACCTGCCAAGTGGTCCCAGATTGCAAGAGGGCACAGGCCAGGCTGAGGGACCCCCTTGGTGCACAATGAGGGCCAGGGAGGGACATGGGAGGCTGGCCAGCCGGGGAGGGACCATGGGAGGGCTCCAGGTCGTGTCTGGCCCATATTGCTCAGTCCCGCTGGGCTGGACCCCAGCAGCAAGCTAACCTACTGGTCGGAGCATCTGCCCCCTGGTGGTCAGTGTATGTCATAGTGACTGGTCAACTGGTCAACTGTCTGCCCCCTGGTGGTCAGTGCATGTCATTCCAGCTATTGATGGAATAGAATTATCTTTAAAAGCAAGATTTTCAATTAAAAAATAAGTTGACCTAGTTCTGATCTAGACTCATCAATCCAATGTCATTAAAAAGTACTTACTTATCACTATTTCCAAAGACATATAAAGTCTTCTTACCCTAAACAACAACAACAACAAACCTATGCACCTAAATTAAAATTAAATTTTATACACACACACACACACACACACACACACACACACCAACATGACACATACTGTTCCAATCCAAATACAATGATTATGATTCACAAAGAAGACATCCCTTTGTGTGTCTGATATTTGCTGGGAAAACAGTAGAGCTCCCAGCAGGCATAACCCATCTGACTTTACCTAAGGCTCCTATACTTTTTGTATAGGAAGTGTATTTTATATTTTTGTGATGAGAATGAGACTTCACTTCTGTGGTCTTCCTCCCAAAAACAGAATCCTAGTTTAATAAAGAGAAAAACCTCAGCCTTAGCCAATTTGGCACAGTGGATAGAGTGTCGGCCTGCAGACCAAAGGGTCCTGGGTTTGATTCCAGTCAAGGACACATGCCCAGGTTACGTGCAGGAGACAGTCGATCAATGATTCTTCCTCATCATTGATGATTCTATTTCTCTCTCCCTCTCTGAAATCAATAAAAATATATTTTAGAAAAAGAGAGAAAAACCTCAGACAAATATAAGCAGAGGGACAGTGTACAAATATCTGACAAGTACTCAAAACTCTTAAGGTCCTCAAAACATGGGAAGTCAGAGAAACTGTCATACTGAACGCTAAGGAGGCATGATGACTCAATGTAATATGCATCCTAAAACAGAAAAAGGATATTGAGGGAAAATAAGTAAATTTCAAATTAAGTGTAGAGTTCAGTTACTATAGGGAAGGGGGTCAATTGTATGGCGATGGATAGTAACTAGAATAGGGGGAGTGATCACTTTGTAATATATACACATCAAATTATCATGTTGTACACATATATTTATGTATAATTATTAAAAAACCCAGTGGGGGGAAAATAAAAAAACAAACAAAAATAAGTTGGCCCTTAATGCTCTGACAAATGTACCACAGTAACATAAAATGTTAGCAATAGGGGAACATGGGAAAGAAATAGCCAGGAACTCTCTGTACTACCTTTGCAACCCTTATGTAAATCTAAAACCATTCTAAAATAAAAAGTTTGAAAATATATTTGACCTCTTAGATAAACCTGCAAAATGATATACTCCCATTCCTAACCAAGCACACTTACAGGCCCCCCAACAACAACAAAAATGGTGTAAAATGCAGCCCAAGACCTTCAAACTGGAACCACCATGGGTCGTAGTGTACATTGGATGAGTGGGGATGATCAATTGGCTAAGCATAAGAGAGAGGCTGCAAAGCATAATTACTTGGATGAGAGATACTGGTTTTTCTAATTTCAAGGATGAATAGGAGCTTCAAAATCTCAGCTGAGCCAAGGAGCCACAGGATAGCTTGCTTTCTTATGCATGAGAAAGGCCCATTATGAATTTTTGTCACTTGAGGTGAAAAATCAAGAAGGGGATACTTTGGAGATGTTGGGTGTAGACCCAAAAGAGGGGAGGTCTGGGAGCAGTAAGCCACAGAAAACAATTGCTGGAGAGCCTTTGGGGATTCAGGGGCAGAAAATCTTGTCTCTGGATGCTGATTCCTGATTGAGAGAGACCAAGACCCAGAGGCACTGTCATCCCTCAGGGGCCATATGGGCCTTGTAGTCCTGTAGTTTACAGGGTTTATCGTCATTAATTAAGTCTCTCACTCTAAAACCTGTATCAGAAATGTTTGCAAGGTAGGATATTTTTTTTCCCCCATGCCAGTGAACTGTTATCATCTCTCTTTTTAAAAATATGTTTTTATTGATTTCAGAGAGAGGAAGGAAGAGGGAGAGAAAAATAGAAACATCAATGATGAGAGAGAATCATTGACTGGCTTCTGCATGCCGCCTACTGGGGATCAAGCCAGCAAGCTGGGCATGTGCCCTGACCATGAATGGAACTGTGACCTTCTGGCTCATGGATCAACAGTCAACCACTGAGCCACACCAGCCAGACCTGTTATCCTTTCTTAGTGTAAATTTGCCATCTCTGTCACTGAGATCTTGAATGTAAGAAACCAGGTATAATTCTCAGTTTGAGAGAAGCCCAAACAAGGAAATTGGGACTAGAGGAAGCAGCATGATGAGAGTTAAGGCAATTTTTGTCTTGGTTGTTTTGTATCATTTGCCATAGCAACACTGATTTGGCACAAAGAAGAAATGAAAAATAAATTTTGGTTTGAATATGAGATCTGTCCTGAAAAAGAACAAAAAGGCGACACATGTCAGGCAGTATAAAAGCTATATGTATTCTATTGGTTCTGCTCATGCACTGCCTTGATGTATGATTGCTTCCTGGTGTAATAATGTATTGCCTATTAGTTCAGTGTTTCGCGGGCCCACTTTTTGCTCTTTGGCTGCATGGCTGACTCCATCAGTGGTAATGAACTATGTCGTAGGTAATCACACCATCCAGACCCATCTACCTTTAGCCCCAAAGCCTTGAAACCCTCTCAGCGCTCAGTCCTGCAAAGAGAAAGAGGCAATGACCTGCAAAAACAGAGACCTGAGAACCTCTGATGATATTAGGTTTAGCTTAATAGTGAGTCATTAATAAATAAGATGCAGGATAATTATCAATATGAGCCACATTCAATAATTAATAAACTTGCAAACAAAATAGAAATGAAATACTTAGGGGAATTTGACAGAGGTTATATTCAGTTCCCCTTGAAAATCTTGCTTTGAAGGGGAAATCACAAATAGTTTAAAATTATGAGAGAGCTTTTCCCCAAAGCATCCATAGTGAGCCACTTAGCAAATAGGATTCTTAACACTCACCCATCTGTGCTCTTACAAGCTTTCCCATGCTTAATTCTAAAAGCACAGCTCCTCCCATTTAATTACAACTTTTCACCTTTCATTGAAGTATCAAAAGGTTTTGGTGGGAAGCGTATGATTTATAAAAATGAGTGGCAAAAGTAGTTAAATATAGCCTCTTTCATATGTCATTCTCATTATCTAGAATTTGTAGGCTAGAATTTGTTGGCAGTAACCTCCACTTTCTGCTGACAATCCCAGTTTTTGATGACCTATACTTTGTTGAGGAGGGGAAGGGAGCTAATAATTACTGAGCATTCACTGAGGTAGATGGACTGTCGCATTGGTTATCTCATGTAATTCTCTTAAAAAGCCTATGAGTATAGGCTTATTAGCGTCAATTAGTAGTCCAGAAATTTCAGGCTAAAGAGGTCAACCACTCACCCAAGAGCAAAAGTAGTGGATTGGGGATTTCATTTCTGATGCTTCCAGTCCCTAAGCCTGCCATTTTCAATTCTGGGTCCTAACTATTTCTGTAAGTAGAATCCAAAGGTCTTCTTGATGCTTCAAAATGACCTTATCTAAAGCAATGTATGGTTACTTACAGAGTATTTTATTAATGCTCCATAATATTTAGCAGCTTGTCAACAGTTGGGGGAACAAACAAAAGCACTTTCCAAGTCCTGATTCAGAAGGGAGTCCAGTCACTGTCCAGCACTACCGACCGAGCAAGTCCACGATGAAGCGAAAAAAATAGGTCACTGTCACTCAAAATAACTGATAAACTCAATCATTTCACCAACCATCCCCGCTGCACCAGCCACTCAGCTCTACCTGGATGTGGAAGGGAATGGTTACAATTTCTTTCCATAATTTTTAGCCCAGCACAAGCAGTTTTAACCCTCCTCCTGAAATATGTTCAAGTTGATACAAATATCTTTAGGCTAGAATAAAAACAGAAGTGCCTTCAGATAGGTAATGTGTTTCTTTTTTTCACTGTCTTGTACTTGAAGACCAAACTCTGACCAGGATCTGAGGTTTTCTTAGGAATAGAATGTTAGTTTAGTCATGAACCTACACCTTTCTCACCTATGGTTTCAGTGACCCCAATCTCACTTTCTCCCACAGGGCATCTCCGGGGTGCTGTGAACACAGTAGGTCTTTCATGCTTTTTAAATGGAATAAATGTGTGTATTTCAGATCCTGTTGAAAATACGCATCTGCTGAAAATACTGATTCTATTCCTATTGCCTACATCATACAGGCAAATTTTACCGAAAACACATTTTAAGGTAAATAATGATAATAATGGCAAAACAAATACTCCAGCTTTAAAAAGTTTTAATACTTAAACAAGAATAAGAAAAAGAACCCAATACTTGTTATAGTCTATGACTTCCCTCTGACTCAGCTGAACAATACAAGAAAGCCTTAGAACTTAGAAATTCCCTTGTCACAGGGTCAGATAGGCAGGTCCATCATCTACTATAATCAAAAGGAAAATGAAAGAGAAACACAATTACCATAGGAAATATGAACTTGACATAAACTTGTCAAAAAGTCATCTACTCCAACCTAAGTAATTTCAGATTCCCTATACAGGCAATCCCCACAAGAATAGCTGAAAAGTAACGAATTCACCTAATTTCAGGAAATGTCCTCTGCTTTGTGACATACTGGAACTCTAACCATCTTTCAAAGCTCAGGTCAACATTCCCATCCTGAAAACATTGGCTCTCACTCTGGTCCTTTGTCCATTTCCTCAACTCTATTAAATGCAGGGTTATACCACACAAATTAACATACATCATATTTATGTTATATTGCAAGTTGATACAAATATCTTCAAATATTCTCATACACAAGAAACAGCCTCTTGAAAGCCGAAATTGTTCCATATTTCTCCCCTGTAGCAAGCACATATGACACCCAATAAACGCTCATGGACTGAATATTGGCCCTCTGGTTTTCTATGTAATGTTCTACTTGTGGCATGTTCCCATCTTTCATTATTTTGTTAGACGTTTTCTACTTCCTTTTATTTTAAGGCCCAGAGACACAAATGTTTTTCTCCTCCTGTTGATCAAATCAAATGCTACACCGCCTTAAAATCTATCCTTAAATCTGCCTCTTCCAGGGAGTCTCCCTGATGCCCTGCATGTAGTGATCTTTGCTTTAGCAGCTGAGATTTAAATGACACTATAATGTCCTTAAACCCCTATCACTTCATGCTGTTCTCCAGTGTTTTCCATTGTATATCTTATTTCCCTAAGTAGATAATAAGACCCCTTAGCTCAGAGACATACCTTCTACATTCTTTATAGTGTCCACAAAAATAAGCACATGAAATATAGATTGATCTGGTTTCTAGCTTGCATGCTCTGTCACATTTCACAGTCTCCTCTGTCCTCAATTAGCTGATCTTTCATACACTTCTGCCCCCCCCGCCCGCCCTCCAAAGAGTGATTCTTTTTTACTTTATAAACTAGCCATACAGGGATTTTGTTAATAGCTCGGACTATTTAATATATGCTAGACACTTATTTCTCTTGGATTTCCAATAAGGTGTTTTTAAGCAGCTTTCCTGAATTTTAAAGCTTCTTTAAACTTCTCATTTCAATTTTTCCTCATATTTGGCCCCACTTACCTTTTCTAAAATTAAGCAACCAAATAATGAACTTTTCCCTACTATAGCCAGAATATTTGGGTAAATTTAATTAAGTTGTGATGATTACAATAAAGGCCTTCAGCATGAATTAGTGCCATTTCCTTTCTGCTCCTGGTGCTCACGTGCTGCATTTGTCCTTGTGGGGTCTGGAAGACTTGTTTCACCAAATCACTGAATCACAGGCAGAACCCTTATTTTAAGTAAGGTCACATTTTCTCCCATTTTACAACTCTGTAGATACATTACTACAGTCCTTGCAATGTGTGATTGTAGAGAAAAGCATAATTTTGAACTTCCTAAGAATTATTAAAATTGAGGTAATAGTGAAAACTTTTGCTTTATCTTAAAGAGGCCTCTAAAAGAAGGGCATTAGTACAAAATATTTAATGTTGAAATAGTGAAGCCAATCAATCCACCAGTAGCTTGAACATAAAATTTAGAAAATAATAATTACAGCAAAAAAATTAATGTTCATGTATAAAGCAAAGGAGGAAAACATAGTGCATAAATGTTAATGGATATGAATTTGATAGGGATAGATTTATACTTTTACTACATCTGCCATAGGAATACCAGTATTTAATATTTTAAGATTTCCAATAAGGAATGTAGATGACCAATACACATATGTAAATGTCAGTTACTGAATTTAGATCACTGAACTTTTATTTGTTAAATAAAAACCTGATGATAAAAAAATACAACTCTTCCAAATTATTGCTAAAACATGTATTATTTTACTGTCAATATCAGTGATCTATAGATTTATGAGCTTCTTTCCATAGTAATGGTACTTCCTCTATAAATAATATAGGCTTTCCTCAAAGTAATTATCACTCTAAAAGAGAAAAGTGTGGTTATTTTTTAATAAGAAATAGAGAATTTTGAAGAATAGACAATGATATTGGGAAGAATTATTGAAGATAAAATATATGCTTCAGAATTAACTATATGAAATAGGACTCAAAGCTCCTTTGACTGCCTGTGCTAATTTTTTATTGGAGTCACACACAGAGAGACTGTGTAATAGGCAAACATATGTCTGCCATCCCCATCCCCTTTCTGCTCAAAGTTTCTTTTTCCCTTCAGCACCAGCTCTCTTAAGCCCCGTCCTCAATTTCTTATCTCTTAGTTTCTCAATTTACAACTAATTTGATGAGAATAATAAATTATTTCCTGACCAGGAAAGCAATTAAAAGAGGTAAACATCATTAGAACTTAATTTAACAATTTAATATTCAACTGTCCTGACCCCAAGCAATGAAACATCCTGGGCATAACAGGCCATCTGCATCCGAGGGTGTTTCTCTGTAACTCACAGGAAGGATGGCTGCTTCTTCTCTATTTAAATCTGTTCTTGACTGGCAGCCCTTGCGTGCATCATGGGCTTGTGGTATCTTATGTTTCCCACAATGCTGAGGTGAGCTAAGAGGAACCCTCATGTCTATGCCTCTTAATGTTTCTATGCCCCAAGTTTCTTCCCTGCCTTTTTGTTCCTTCCCCTCCTACTACTTCTTTACCAGGACTCCCCTGAGGGATCCCCTTTTCCAGGAAGTCTGTGCAGACCCTTCCAGGCCACATGAAATATTCTACCTCTGCCTCTGTGCTCCTGTGGGCTGATCTTTCATGGTACCTGCTACTGTTCTGTAATTGTCTATTCACTTGCCACCACACTGAGAGCTCCTTCTAAGTGGGTACTGTGTCTTTAACCTCTGTGCCTCTGCTAGATATCCATCATGATGCCTGGATTTTGAATGAATGAATGAATGAATGAATGAATGGCTATATTTATGAAGAGCTCCTTTCTTCTCACAGGATAGTTTAGCCATCTTAGCCTGGTTCCAGATTTGCCCCCTCCTTTCTTTCCCTCTTCATCCCTGTAACTTCCCTCAAGCTGTCTGGATATTCAAATGGTCCAGTCCTCCAGGCTTATCCTTTCTCACATTGGCTGTGCATTGGCTCAGGCCTGGGATGGTCTTTCTAATTAAAATAATTTCTGTCTGTCTGCAGTGAAAATCAAGATTGGGCTAGACTGTTCCTACCTAGATGCTCCTTGAGCACTTTGTTCATAACACTAATATAGTACGAATTACATTATATCATAGCTTAGTAACTTATCTACCCATCTTTCCCACCACCCTGAACTATTTAATGAGAAAGTGCTATTTGGATTTTCTTTGTGCCTTCAGAGAGTCTAAGTGATTTTCCCAAGTTTATAAATCTGGCAAAAAGCAGAGGCAAAACCAGGTATTCCACCTGGAAGTCCAGCATTCTAGATATTTTGCTGAACTTACCTTTGTCTTTCACACCTGCTCACTGTTCAGGTACTTTATTACTTTCAATATCCTATCTAATAAAAGAGTTATATGCAAATTGACCATCACTCCAACACACAAGATGGCTGCCCCCATGTGGTCAAAGATGGCCATCACAAGATGGCCAGCAGGGGAGGGCAGTTAGGGGTGACTGGGACAGCAGGGGAGGGCAGTTGGGAGGGACCAGGCCTGAAAGGGAGGGCAGTTAGGGGCAACCAGGAGGGCAAGGGAGGGCAATTAGGGGTAACCGGGCCAGCAAGGGAGTGGTTAGGGGCAATCAGGCAGGCAGGAGAGCAGTTGGGAGCCAGCAGTCCTGGATTGTGAGAGGGATGTCCGACTGCCCTGGTGGGATTGGGCCTAAACGGGCAGTCTAACATCCCTCGAGGGGTCCTAGATTGGAGAGGTTGCAGGCTGGGCTGAGGGACACACACCCCCATGCACAAATTTTGTGCACCAGACCTCTAGTATTAACTATAATATAACACACACACTTTTCTCTGTTGTTTCAAATAACTCTAGACACCAAAATGAATGTAGGAGGTAGATGTAGAAGCCCTTCTTGGGAAAAATTCTGAACAGAAAGAAGAGAGTCGGGGGGAGAAAATGGCGGAGGCTTAGACGGACGTGTTGGTGCTTTGTTATTACATGCAGCTTCCTTTGCTAACGTTTCCTACTCCTAAATTGTTAGAGTTCTGATGCACAAAATGATGACTAATGAAGGCAAACTAAAATGTTTTAATAGCTCTACATGGAAAAAAAAAATCCACCTTGCAATGTCCCTGTATAAAAAACCTGTTTTGGAGGAGAAACTGTCTGTTAAGCTATAATGAATCCCAATTGCAACCAGCCAATGTCTGGTATGTTTTTTAGACTGTCTGTAGACCTCTTTGGCATTTGCTGACAGAGTTCAAACTCAATGGAGGGCTCTGGGGGCAGAGGGAGGGAGGGAGGACTTTTGTAAGTAGGCCAAGTTAGCTTGAAATAAGTGCAATCTGAGCACAGGTCTTGGAATTGGAGGCTTTCTGAACTGTAATCCTAGCTCAGACACTGATCCCTCCTGCGACCTAGGATAAATTACTCAACCTTTTCCCCTTGGTTTCCAGATCCTCTAAAAAGGGATAATAATCCTGACCTCAGAAGGCTAGCGTATGAATTAAACATCTGAGAGGCCTCATCTCACAGAAAGGCCGAATGAAGCATCCCCTTCCTTACAGATATAGTAACTTTTTCAACTCAACTTACTGAGAACTGTTTCTGCTAACGGGACTAATGATGACTGATTCCTGTATCCAGGTGCCCTGAG